GCCAAGCTGTTGCTATTCTGTCCGCCAAGCGTCAGGGGAGAGGCGCTGTCCAATCGCAGCGGCCGCGGGGTCTCGGGTCTTGCCAGCCCCGGGGGAGAGCCCGCGGCAGCTGCGCCTTCCTTCTCCTCCCGCGCCTTGGCGAGGCGAGGGGACCTTGCAACAGACGCGAGGAGCCCGGCAAAGGCGGGGTGGGCAGGGTGGGGTATCTTTGTTTTGGCTGATGGGGGGGAGGGTCCTCGAGAGAAGGAGAGGGGAAGAGAAGAGATCGGAGGCAGGAAAGGAGGCTGCTGCTCCTCAACGTAGCCACCGAGAGCCTCGTGACACCTTTAAGGCGAGCGGGTTTCTCTTCGCTTTCGTGGCTTTCCATCCACTTCCTTGGATCGTCGAGAAAGGACAAGGTTCAGGCGTGTATCAACGGTTTGCTTAGGATCAGAGCAAAAGAGGAGGAAGTGCATGAAAGTCCATGCAGAAAAAAAAAATATTTGCTGCGTGGCTCGAACGGACTAGGCAAGATCACCCCGTTAGAAACTGGGGTTAGCCACCGTATTGAGCGCTCTATTGCTCGCTCGCTCTGGCTCTCATTCGCTCTCTAGATTTAAGCAATGCCCATGTTTAAATTCCCTCTTTCTTTATAAGGGAGTTTCTGGCTTCCTTCCCCCTGGAGGTTGTAGATGTAAATGCTCCTAGAGACCACACAGGGTGCAATGCTCTCACCAGCAAAAGCGGACGTGCATAAAATGAGCATAACAAGGAAAAGCTTGAATCGTGGAGTTGAAAGAGATCGCAGAGGTTATTGAATCTAAACCCCTCTGCCACCTTTGATTTACCTTGCTTAATGGAACTCCAGCCTCCATGTTTGGTCTTCGTATAAATATCTTCAATGGAAGGGCAGCCCAGACTTCCCTGAGCCAGGTTGTCTTCTGTCAAATTTCTCACCATTTGTCACCTAGTGCTTTGCCACAATCTGTTTCCCTGCAATTGACAACAAGCCTGTTTCATTTAATAAGAACACTTCTTCCTGACATCCTGTTTTCTCTGGATGAGAAGGCAACCGTCAAGAAGCATTTTATGTTGCAGGCAACTGCCTGCACTTTGAAGCCCTGGCACACACAGAACAAAATCTGAAATTATGACTGTAAAACATGTGCAGTTTTACAAGGAGCAATGCTTGTTCGTTTGTTTTTTACACGAAATTTTATTGTGTAATAAAGTTTAGAACACAGGCAACAAAAAAGGAGGAACATCATATTAAAATATAGGAAGCTAACTTAATTATTCCAGTCTTTAATGTATCAAACATAGGCTTGTGTGAGATAATTATAACAGCTTTCCCAAACCTTCTGTGGCTCCTTTCATCCATTGCCCATTCTGGCTGGGGATGATGGAAGCCGTAACCCAATGCATTTGGATGCCACTAAATTGTAGCAGGCTGAGTTAGGGCAAAGCAGGAGAATTTCCATACTGCTGAGAAATCTATATGTTATGTAGATGAATTTTAGTCAGCTATGAAGTATAAGGATCTGGGCTTAACTGGTATGTTTGAAGGGAAGATTGAAGGGCTGCCAGACACCATGGCACCATAACATTGATTTACATTATGTATCAAGACTGGCAGTCTGGAGGCAAATCATGACTAAACCATAAAGGATGAGTTGGTAAAGCTGTTCCTGGACTGTACCAATTCAGACTGCAAGTTATATACATACAGTACTATTAACACAAACATAATCATATGGTTTTGGACTGTACCAATTCAGACTGCAGGTAATATACATACTATTAACACAAACATAATCATATGGTTTTTTAAAGGAGGATAGACACATCATTCACAAATCTAAGTTAAACTTTAGAGGACTGAGTGCATGTACAAGAAAGCATTTGACACATGAAATACTGCAGACCTAAGTGGCATAATCCAGAAATGTACCTACCTCCTAGTTAGCTGTTTCTGAGAACCAGACTAAAATCATATGTAAAAAACTGATTGTCACTCATCTGTTTGTAAGAAGAGGAAGGAAGACAGGCACAGAACAAGCTGATAGATGAAGTAGAGAAGGTCTTATTTCAATTCATTATTAGAACTGTGTATAAAGAATGTATTTTATACCTTTCATGGGTTTTTTTTCAGCCAAATTGAATAGAAAAACAAACAGAAATAAGAAATTAGAAATCCTGTTTGTTTTGATTTTCCTTTACTTTTCATGTGTTTGCAGTTGCCCTGCATTTGAGGCAGAGTTTTGCTAGGTAGGTAGTTGGGACAACAGTGTGTGATTCAGAGAAAGGTGACAACAGAAAAAGAGAAAGCAAGAGAAAAACATAAGAGAAATGGCAGAGGAGAGAAAGAGTAAGAGAAAAGGAAGTGAAAAGATAGATTGGGAAGGTCTACTGGGTTCAAAGTACAGTTCAGCTGTGTCTCTGCTCCTTTTAAAAATTTCTCTTAAATGGGGGCCTTTTGTCCCTTTTATCTGAAATTTAGCAGATCTAATGGCTTGGTAGGTGGTAGTGGAAGTAATAGAATAGCTAGCATTTTCATGTTTTTGGATGATAAACACTGAACTTAGAGGCAGCAGAAAACCAGTTTGATTTTCCAGTGAGATCAGTAGAAAACAAACAGATTAAAAAAAGAGGAACTAAGTGACAGTCAAAATAGGTGACGTGCAAAAGGTAAAGAATGTATCACTTGTTGCTGTAGCTATCTGAAGAAAGAGTCAAAAGTTGATATATGCTGATATAAGACTTATGCATGCTTTCTCAACCCTGTACCGTGCAGCCATGCCGAAGATGACAACAGGTGTAATCTAATACAGTGGTTCTTAACCTTTTTGATAGGAAGGCTGGACTACGGCAAAGCTTTGTACGTAGGGTTGCCTTAGGGGAGCATTTGGAAACTACAGATGGTTAAGAATGACACAGCAAGAATTGGGTCTAGTAGAGCAGACAATTAAAGGCTAAAGGTCTTCCAGTTCGTTGCAAGCAGAATTCAAAATACTGTTGTTGCTACATTACCTTTGAATTCTTAAAGGGATCTAAAAATATTTCAAGAATTTTGTCTCCTGGAGGAGCCTCTCCATCTCTTACGGTCTTCCGTAATGGCTGCGTCCCCTGATGCCTCACCTACAAAACAGAAATGGGTGACTGGCGAGGAGTAGCATCTTTCCTATGGTGGCTCTCAGGCTATGGCTCCCTGTGAGTCTTCATTGGATGCTAGAACATTTGTGATGTGGAAGACCTCTGATCTGCTGCTCTGCTCAAAATTCCTTTGGTAGCTGCTCAAAGATTTTTTTAAAATGCTTTTTGTAGCTGCTCTCTTCTTCCATTTTCCTGATCTAAATAAGTCAAACCTTGAAAAGGTAGGGGAAAGGATCAGGACATCCATCCCAGACCTCCCAAGTCTCGTTGGGGACTTATGTATAGTTGAACAAGGGTTAAAGAGCTAGAAATCCAGAAAATGCAGGTTTTGAGAAGGAATCACAAACATGGAGAGAGTGGCAATTCCTTGGTGGGAGTTCTAAGAACAGAGAAGAAATATTATCTTTTGGATTAAAATCCCCAGAAACCCACAAAGTGTCTTTTTTAAAGTACTAGTAACTCCAACATATCTTCAAAATTAATTAAATTGCAGTAGCCATCAAAAGGAGTGCATCAATTTGCTTTCTCCCTCACCTTTCAGGTTCCACAATGAATGCAGCACGAAGATCAGCCAGGGTGGATTCAGAGGTGACAGAGTCCGAGATGGAGCCGTCCCTCAATGCCACTGAGATGCCCTCTAAGGAGAATGTTTTTTCTGACATGAAGGACAAATTCATGAACAAACTGGGAACATTACCAAGTATGCAGCACTATTCTGACGTTCTTTTCTTCCTATCCCAGGTTTTAGATCAGAGAATGGAGTTGTACAATCAGGCATTTCCTAATCTAAATTAGGTTTTGCTTTAAAAATTATAGAATGCTAGAATTTTAGAGTTGGAAAGTACTCTAGAGTCATCTAGTTCAATCCCTTGCTGATGCAGAAAATCTGTGACTAAAGAATCCCGGACAGATTACCCTCCAAGCTCTGCTTGAAATCTGACTAAAGAATCCCTGACAGATTACCCTCCAAGCTCTGCTTGAAAACCTCAAAGGAGCATCCACCTTACTCCAAGGCAGTGCATTCCACTGTAGAGCAACTATTACTGTCAGTCAATGCCCAGGACTATATTCTGTAATTACACACAAGCACAACAAAACACATGTGCAGATGTGTTCCTGAAAATTCCTGGTTTCAAGCTGAAGTAAGCCCATGACAAGCCACAACCTCATCTAATTTCCCCTTCTAGAATATAGAAATGCTAATAATATTGACTTGCTTTTGTAAAGATTCCTGAGCTGACACGATTTGATAAGTTAAGAGTAAGTAATTTAGTATTATGTAGAGATACTGAAAGTTGGATCCTTCTATCAAGAGAAAGGTGACCGTGGAGTGTTGTATCTGTTCTGTTCTGATGAGAGACAACTGCACCAGAATCAGATACATCTCTCTTCTCTTCTGCTCCACTACAGTACCACCTTGGGCTTTAGCCACCATTATCATTGTCGCTGGCCTCCTGCTTCTCTGCTGCTGCTTTTGTGCCTGTAAAAAATGCTTTGGCAAGAAGAAGAAAGGGAAGAAAGGGAAGGACAAAGTGAAGGCACAGATCAATATGAAGGAAGTGAAGGAGCTAGGCAAGAGTTACATCGATAAGGTAAGGGGCAGCTTCCCAAAATGTCGCTGTGCAAGGAAATCTCCTAAGAAGAACTTCACAATTGTGTGATTGCTGTGATTTTTCAAAAAAATGACAAGAGATCCCATCATGCAACTCCTACATCATGCTTGCATTGATGGAACAAATTATCTAAGGATCTGTGTAGCATGGCTTGTGAAAAGAGAGGACATTTCTTGCCGGCTTCCCCAAATGTCGCTGTGCAAGGAAATCTCTTAAGAAGAACTTCACAACTGTGTGCTGTGATTTTTCCAAAAAAAAAAAAAAATGACAAGAGATCCCATCATGTAACTCCTACATCACGCCTACATTGATGGAACAAATTATCTAAGGATCTGTGTAGCATGGCTTGTGAAAAGAGAGGACATTTCTTGCTCCCAGGAATCAGTCTGTGGACACTGGTTGAGCCACACGGAAGGGCAAATCACACAAAACAATTAAATATAGAAAGGTTGAAGTTACAGAAGGGCCAGTCACAGAAAACAATTAAATATAGAAAGGTTGAAGTTCTAAGATGACACTGTAATTCAGACATTTCTTCAGCCTCTGGTTTCTCTTTAGCTTCTGGGGCTGGATGGGATAAGCTGTCATGAGTTGTGATTAGTTGAAGCTAATCCCCTTTAGCCCCCCTTGAGGCAACTGCCCTGCAACGTTGGGTTGCTGACCTTTGGAAAAAGATAGGATGAGTCCTTGATAGATAGTAAAGAAAGATGTTCCAGAGGACACAGCCCTGGGAGACCCTTTCAATCTGTGTTGGTTTCATGCACTGGAATTTTTACGCAACTTGGAAGTTTGGGTATTCTGTCTGCCTCTTCCATTATACTTCACTACGGCCTCATCATCGGTGGGCAAAAGGAGCACTGAAGTGTTCCAAGGGTTGATAATCTGAGTTACATTCACTTCTCATGTCTACTTTTGCCTGGGTTTGGTACATTTATAGAAAGAGAGCAGGAGACATTCCGTTTGGGTATTCCTGGATTCTGGGGTAGGGAGCTCATAGTTTGTAAACATTACACCTTCAGAGTACAAATCTCAGATTTTAGGATTTACTGTCCAAAAATACAGAGTTTTCCAAGCTCTGGAAGAGCTACATAGAAGCTGCTGTAAATCTAGTGCTTTTTGTGCCACCGTAGTAGTTGAACAGCATATTTATTAAACACCTAACCAACCAAGGCATTAAAAAGTGGAGAATAAGGTTCAGTTTGTATGGTGTTACACATGCTTCCATCTTTGATCCTAATGCTTTCCCATTCCCTCTCCGGCCACTCCTTCCTTTCCTTCCAGGTTCAGCCTGAGGTAGAAGATTTGGATCCCTCACTGTTGCAGGAACCCAAAGAAGAGAAACCCCAGGAGAAGCTGGGGAAACTCCAGTACTCTCTTGACTATGACTTCCAGAGCACACAGGTAAGGAAAATACAAGCTTTCTTTCTTCTTTGATTAGTGCAGACCGCAACCCTCTTGTAGATGTCCACTCATGCCTTGCTCCAAAAGAGGGTTTTCACCTGAAAAGGGGATACCAATTTGTATGTCTTCATGTGTATAGGTGCATATTTAAAAACAATTACAGTACTCTAATTTAAATAGAAATGTAACATATTTTGCCATTGTGATGTGGTGACCACTATTGCTGTTCAGCCTGCTGTCCGGGCACTGTAAATTGTTGATGGGAAAATCTGAGGCTTCCATACTCCCTTCTTATGGTCCTTTATCTTTAAAGAGATGGTGTCTTCTAATAAAGGACTGTTCTGGAGCTCGGAAATGTGGGATTCTGGAGTTGTAGTCCAAGAAAGTGATATTTCCAAGCTCAGAATGTAAAACAGGACACACAGCCACACACCCTGTGCTACATTGCAATCCCCTCCTACAATTGAGAACTTCCTAATGCTACTTTTCTGCAGCTCTTCCATCTTTTCTTCCTTATTTGGTCTCTTTGTTGTTTTGGTGGAATGATAGAAGGCAAAGGAAGTGGTGGTGAAATAAGAGTGGGTCACAGACAGAAGACAATCTCCTCTGGACTCACTTCACCACAAACATATCCTTGAGTAAAGCAGACCAACTGCATGATAAAAGCCACTTTGGAAGCATCCCACAGAAAGGTCCTGCCAAAGCAATGTTCAGAACAGTACTGGTTGGGATGGAGCACAATAGGCTCACTATAAGGTAGTTTCTGATTTTTAAAAAATGTATTCACATGTTCAAATCTTTCCCTAGCTGGTGGTGGGCATTATACAAGCCGCTGACCTCCCAGCACTGGATATTGGGGGCACATCTGACCCTTATGTCAAAGTCTTCCTGCTTCCAGAGAAAAAGAAAAAATATGAGACCAAAGTTCACCGCAAAACCCTCAACCCTACGTTCAATGAGTCCTTCACTTTTAAGGTAAGTTCCCCATCTGTTCTTTCTTTGGTCTTGGCCAAAGTGCCTCAGGTACATTGTTTATTTTTCTTCACCTCAACCATATCACCTTCTTCCATAATTCTGTTTTCTCTACAATTGTGAATCTCATTCTCTCCATTTCAAACAACTGTCTTCCCCACCAGCCCATAAGATTTAATCTAATAGTGCCTGTAGCTGAATCCATCACCACTGTGTTTTACACTTTAGGTACCTTACTCAGAACTGGGCGGTAAGACCCTCGTCATGTCTGTTTATGACTTTGACCGTTTCTCCAAACACGATGCCATCGGCGAGATCCGTATCCCCATGAACACTGTAGACCTGGCACATGTGATCGAGGAGTGGCGGGACCTCCAGTCCGCAGAGAAAGAAGAGGTAGGGATCAGCACTGAATGTTACTCCATGCCTGATCTGAAACCAGATTTGTGTCTCATCTTATGGGAGCTTTAAATATTGACCGAATTATATGATCAGCGGCCATGTGGCTGGGCTAATGTTTCAGTGACTCATCAACATGAGTGGGAAACAGTCATGTGGGTCCTCATCACAGAATCAGCATCTGCAGGAAAATGGTTTAGATTGAAGGATGCCAATTCTGCGTGTGAGCGAGTACAGGAAGGCTCTACCACATTCGCCCCATCCACCCCTCCTGACCATCATGATCACACTCATCCAAACTGGAAGTTTTCATCTTAGACTTCTACTTTTAAGCAACTGGCAGGCAGAGTATAGCCTGCAGGCTGCATATGACCCCCAGGGGCTTTGTTTACCCCTCCCTGCCACTGTCGCCACCTCCCACCTCCACAAGTACATGATCCCAGCTGAGTCAATTATCCTTTTGGGCCAAAATTGCATTTTTTTAATCCAGAAGACTTTAGGTGTAACTGTTTTGCAATAAAACCCCAGTCCCTCAACCAGGACTCCACCACCACCCCCAAGAGGAAAGGAAAGGTGAGCACCCAGCTCATTTCCTGTGGTTTTTATATATATACTGTATATTATTTTGACAGCTCCCTTCGTGCTCGCAAAACAGGTGTTTTCGGGACCTAAGCTTTGCAAGACAGCTATTTAAACAGCTGATTGGTGGTTCGCAAAGCAGCTTTCCTATGGCCGATCTTCGCTAGACAACGATGATTCTTCCCCATTGGAACACATTAAACAGGTTTCAATGCATTCCAATGGGGAAATGCTTTTCGCTAGACGATGATTTCGCTAAACAGCTATTTCAGTGGAACGGATTATTTATTTATTTATTTATTTAT